AAATCTGGCTTCATAGGTGAAAGGCTGGTTATAATTATGGGAGTAAAATTGAACAAAATAAGTTTGGTGGCACCAAAAAAGACCAAAGATAAGGCAAATGTTGAGAGCAATGGAAATAACCTAAAAGTAAAAGACCTGAGTCTGGAGGTGAATGTCTGGATATAATTCTGGATATAAAATTGAACAAACTGAGTTTGGTGACACCATAAGAAGACCAACGATAAGGCAAAGGTTAAGAGTAATGGAAAGAACCTAGAAGTGAAACACGTGAGTCTCTATAATTCTGGGATTAAAATTGAGCAAAATGATGGCGGTACCACAAGAAAGCCAACGATAAGGTAAAGATTCAGAGCAATGGAAATAACCTAGAAGTGAAAGATCTAAGCTTACAGGTAAAAAGCTATATATATATATAATTCTGGCAATAAAATTGAACAAAATAAGTTTGGTGGCACTACAAGAAGACCAAGGATAAGGCAAATAGAAAGAACCTAGAAGTAAAAGAAATGAGTCTAGAGGTGGAAGGCTAAAATTAAATTTTGGTGGCAACGATTAGGCAAAGATTATTGACTACTATGATGATTAAAAACCATTACTTACAAGGGGACCCTTAGGTTTACTATTCTGGTATTTTGATGAAACTTTGCATGGTGATAAAGTTGATGGTCAAACCGAACCCCATAAAATATTATAGGTCTATGAGAAGTGGTTCAATTATTAGAAGCGTATAAGAGAAAGCAACTGCATACTGCAAGTTTGGAAAGATTGCACTACTTCACGATCAACGTAGTTGCCTTTAGACTTCAATTATTATTATTTCTGAATATTTAGAAGTTGTCTACCCCTGTCATATTTGTGGACGGGTGGCGTGAAAATCTGTACGGAGCATCGATGATCCAATACAAACGTGCGCACCTTGGTACCGTTATCAGTTCGAAAAGTTTGTTCATATCTCGGCGACTGATAAGAGAGACGACACTGTTGGCGATGAATTGAATGTGGTCTGCTTAAAACATATTAAATTTATATGAAAATTATATAAAAGAGTATCATAATATGACGTTCATCGAGTTCTAGAAATTATATAGGTTTCAAAATCAATTTAATCAGAATGCTAATAATTTATTTAACAACCACTGACATTTTTTTTCTATTTTACTCTATTTAATGTTTCACATTATGTCGAAATTTTATATTATTTTTGCATACTTCCAATTAGTCTCTATTAATGCTTTTCTCAAAGTAAGTCCCCAAACTGCCGTTTTTGTATATGATAATGATACCAAGTTGTATGCAACACGCCAATTTTGAATTTCGAAACGTATCACCAAGGGGAGGAGGGCTCCAAAAATCTTTAAAAAATCGATCACGTGATTTATGGACGCTCCTTTTATAAATAAAATGAGGATTAAGATCTCAAATAAAACTAATAGAAATAAACTTCCTATGTTCTTTATCAAATAAGACACATCAAGAGTCTTTTACAAATAGTGCAATATTTATAGAGCAATGAGCGTCTTTATTTGTATTAAATTATAGCACGCAGCTAGTCTGCGCATTTTGTTAAATACATATATAAATCATTTTGCAGAGTTGTTTATACTATAATTACAAAAATAGTTTATTTCTCCGTTTTACTCGCACCTTTCAAAGTAATACTGGGAATTTTAGGAGATGATGTCATTTTATAATTATAAAATTGTATACACCTGCATTTGTTGTAGTCCAATTATTGTGCATATAAAATTACTAAGGACGATCCGAATAAATTTTTATTTCAATCTTGGCAAGAATAATTTTAATTTATTATTTATAAATTATAAAGATGCTTATTATCACATGTATCGATTTAATATCGATCTCATAATTGATAAGAATCAAATTTTAGAATCTCGACAAATGAAAATATCACATCATCTGCAGATATGAAGTATTTATATCGATATAATATATTAAATATATATATGCTTTGTTTTAAGAAATTCAGATAAAACTAGTGGGGTGCATGGCATCGTGCCTTAAGGCTTCGGTGGAACTTCCCGTACCGTAATGAAAAATCTTGGTACGGAACCCAAAAAAAATTATACAAAATGTGTTCACATTATTAAAATGTCTATGAAATATCTGATAATTTGATGTACATAAGTCCAATAAACATTTTTGAACGCCAAATGACATTTTTTAAACTTATTCAAGTTCTTCATCTTGTCAATACAAGTAAAATGTTTTTGAATTATTGAAATCGGATGCTCCGTTCTCTTAAAAACAGAGTTACCGTTTTTGGCATTTTTTGCCCCATATCTTTCGAACGGCTGGACGTACCTTCGCCAAAAATTAATCAGCACGCCTCTTTATCAATAGGAATCGAATGTTTTTTGAATAATTGAAGTTAAACCGTGTTCCTGAAATCGTCGACGAGACTTTGTATCCGCACACACACAGACACTTACACACACACATACACACACACACACACATACACACACACACACACACATACATCCATTTTTTTAAGGTATGCCAAAATGTTCAGAAACCTCTGAAATGTAAAGATATGAAAAATTTTCATTTTGAGTTTGAAAAATTATTTATTAAATTTAAATCTTAACATGAAAAAACTTATAGCTAACGGATGATAATATAGCAAACAACGACGATGTTAAAATCTATAAACTGTACAATTATCGATCACATGATCTTTATATCATAATAAACAACTAAACACTCAAACAATATGTGTATAAATTATATCATTACTTCAGTCTTCCTTAAATTGGTCAAATTTGAAATGGAATATATTATAAGTTCATATAAAACATTTTTTTATAATCATTAGTAAAGTTTCATCATAGAATACATATTTATAATAAGCAAAAATAAGACTCCAAAAGAAATTAATCTTAAAAGAAAAACAGGCGCCGAATTTCAAAAAAATACGACTGTTTTGTCCAAGTAACTTTACAAATATCAAAATGTTATGCAGAAGGATATAATTTATTTTGATAAATTCATAAATAATATTTTCATATAAGCATCTCTGTTTTGTTGAATTTCAAATTTAAATTCAATAACAGTGAGATTTTTACATATATTTACAATGTAAAAACAGAAATAAAATAATAAATAAATTAATATGGGATGCGGATTGTGTAACTTTGAGCATAAAAAATAACTTATGTGATTGCAAAAACTGAATTTTTACAGAAAATTCTTTGGTATGCTAATTTTGATTTCAAACTGAACTTACAAAACAAATAATTGGTATTAAGAGCTTTTCAAATAAAAGCATCTTATACATTCTTCCTTATTTATTTTTGGTTTCTAGCCTTGTATTCATTGCAATAACAAACATATGTATTTATAAAACAACTTAAAAATATTCAAATCTGATAAAATTATTCTTTTATAATTAAATATAAATATGAGACTCAAAAAATATTTTTTGTTGCTTAAGAGATTAAGCAACTGTTACATAAATAAAATTTATGCTTTCAAAATTTTTATCAAAACACATTTAGTAATTAATATTGTCACTTGCTTTAATAACTAATATATTATAATATTTCCAAGAATCTTACAAACTATTTAAAAATATCTATTTAATAAAATATACAGATCAAAAATACAACATTTACCACTTTCACCTTTCGATAATTTCTTTCAAGAATAGTATTGGTGATGCCTTTTCTATAAATCTGATGAGATCTTTAACAATTCTTTACATACTCTCACAGCAATATAAATTTTTATAATTAACTCTATATAAGGCAAGAATAAAAATTAAAATTTTGATAAAAATATTGTTTCATAACTCTATTATTTGTCTAAAAATAATAAAATATTTTAAAATAGTACGACTAAAATATTTGAAATTTTGATTTGCGTGATGAACTCAATAAATTATAACATTATGCTTTGGAAATATTACAAGATTTCACAAATTTAATACAAATCATTTAATTCGAGATAATAATATCAAAATCTTAGCAAAATTCATGGTAATAACATTACTTAATATTTATGTAATAGATCTACTTAAATAATATAAAATATCATAAATCAGATCAGCGTGTATATATGTGTATGTGTGTGTGTGTGTGTGAAAAAATTCTTACGATTTCAATTCATTTTCTTGATAATTCATACATTATAATCTATTGGAATGTTTTTTGGTCTATCGAATTAAAATTTGATATTCGATCATTTTCCAGTATGGAGTCTAAACAACAAACTCTAACTTAGTGGATATAAAATATATAGCAAAATATTATTTTATATTAATGATTTATCACACAAAAATTGAGCACAGGTCAATTTTTTTATGATGGCCCCCATGTGGTAAAACGCATTATTAGAATCAGAAAAATATATTGAGGTTTTACTTAAATTAATTTTTTAATCATCATTAATAAACTTTATATTTACTTTGCATATAATTTAACCCTTTTCTCTCGCTAATTCCGAGAATTATATGAATTTTGACGCCGGAGCGGCTGCATCCGAGTGGAAAGGGTTAAACTTTCTTACATATTTTCAAAATGCTTTCAATCAATTAAATATCTAAGGCACTGAATACACAAATTAACCCTTTCCACGAGCGGCGGCATTTGAGTGCAAAGGGTTATTCTAAATATTGATTTATAATTTCATTGATAATTTTTAAAATTCATATTTATGTCATATTTGATATATCATCTTTAGATTCTTTATGTTAGATTCGTCCGAAACTTAGAAAACATTTTTAAGACTATACTAAATAAAGTAGTATTATAATTGATGGCAATGATTTTTTTTTTTGCATCAAGCGATTATATGGATCAGCATCAGGATCCGCCAAAATACGTTAACAAAATAACTGAACTTCATAAAAAAATCAATCATAAATTATTAACGTAATTGCATAAGAAATATTAAATAATAAATACTTTATATAGTTGAAAATGTTTTCTAAATAATAGTAATGCATTTTACCACCTTGATTTTACCGTCTGAAAACTTTCATCTTCGATCTTAACTTGGCCAAAATTCATTCAGCTGGACAATGAAACTACAGTAGGCCTTTCTAAATTTCCATCCAACAACTTGGTGGTTCCATTAGAACCATCAACACTAATAACGTGATTATTGTTATTATTTATCACATTGGTTCCACAGTGGCGTCTGGTGGGGCTGGACGGACTTGTTTCTCCATTTCCGTTAAGGGGACTTCCTGGTTCTATTTTGGATGAGTCTTGGTGTTGATTTTGATGTTGCAACTGTTGTGCATGCATGTCGTTTTGCAACAACGTGTAATAAGGTACCCCACTGGTGGTGTATGGTGGAGAAGATAGAAGTCTTGACGATACGGAACCAGAATTAAGTGGTGTCACTGAGTTGTACAATGAGTAGGGGGACGGAACGCTATTGTTGCCGTGAGCTGACATGTGCAGGCTGGTCATGGTTTGGTGGTTTTCTGAGTATTCTGGAAAAGAAAAAATATTGGTTTAGCTTCTTGTCTACTATGTACAATAATTACTTAAAACCTTTTTTTTTTAATTTATTTGAAAAGCGATCAGAACTTATGGGTTCTATGAGCTGTTGTGATGAATTTCTTACAAACTATGTTTGTTTTATTATAGATGGCAACCCAAACAGTTGTCTCATCTCCATGTGCTGAATTTTTATTATTACAATCATTGTAATAGTGATGACTACTTAAAACCTCTTTAAATAATTAATCAATAGGATCATTATATAAACCCCATGTAAACTATGCAAATGATTCATCAAATATGTATCACAATTAGTTTTTGTGATAGAGGATTAATTAACTTTTAATTTGCCCAATATCTTACAAAGTTTCCTATAAATCTCATTTAATTACTTAATTTTTACCTGTATTTTGTTGTTCTGTCTTTATTCTCTTAGCATCAGCATGGTTATTGTTAGTTGCATCACTTTTGCTGCCTTTGGGTTTTCGCTTTCTGGTCTGTAAAAAATAAATACAACACATTTAGGTCATATTGATAAAAAATTTATTCAATTAGAACAATATTATTGAAAATAACCGATTAACCAATCTCACAAAATATATAATAAGATAGTGAAATACCTGCACCATAACAAGTAACAAAAAAATTTCTTTTCCAAATTCTTTGAAGTGATAATAAATCATATGACGTTGTATTTGAGCAATTTAATTCGTGTTAGTCGAAAATCGTTATAAATATGGTAAACATATGTAGGAATAAACGTCCATTAAATGGATCCAATCGAAATCATGTTTTTAATCTGGAGAAAAATAGGCCAAGCTTTACACATCCAAAATTATATCTAAAACCACATATGTACATGCAAGTTTCTGTCGCAAAATTATTTAGTTTAACTTTATATATTTATAATAATAACTCCCAGGTTTTTCTAAGAGCAATATTTGTTCCAGATTTAGATCTTTTGTCCCGGATTGTCCCGAGTGGACCAAAAATTGAATCTTTGCTCTTGCTTGATAATAAAATTATAACTATCATCAAATATCTACATTTCTCCTTATTATTGAGAGCTTGTCTCTTTGTCATCTATAAGTTCTTTTTAAAAAAATCCAAAATCTACCTGAATGCTATCCTTCTTCATAGTTAATGGTCTGTTGACACCATGCAGTTTGAAATATAAACCGCAGGCATTGCAAACTGGTTCACCCATGGTGTTCCTTCTCCACAGGGAAGTGTTTGTGGTAGAACAATTGGAGCAGGTAATTCCTGCACGTCTGGATGCACTCTAAAGATAATAAAAATATATTAGAAATTTTTCAGATTTACTGATATAATAGAGCTACACATATTATCTAAATGCAGAAATTATTTTAAAATTTATTTAGGATATCAAATATCAAAAAATAAAAAAGGGATATCTCATAGGAGATCTTTTTAAATGCATTTACATCCAGCATATTGTCTTAATAAATTATATTATTTTGATCGTTAATAAATCTATGCAAAAAAATAGAATTTTATCAAATTTGGTTGAATTGATATTAAATTCATTATAATAAATTGAATTTGTATAATTATAATTAAAAAAATATCAGGATTGATTTTATTCTTAAAATTATTATTGATTTGATTCATTTTAAGGTGAATAAATTTAAATATTTTCAGTAAGTAACTGATTTCATTCTTAAAATTATTGCTGATTTGATTCATTTCAGCCAAAGTGAAAAAGTTTAAATATTTTCAATCAGATAACTATATTTGTGTTTCAAACAATAAAAATAGATTCAACGTAATATACTCAAAATTTAACGTAATATACTACAAAACTTAAAAAAGCTCTTAAAGTAACATGCAATTTAACTACTAGAGTTTTCCAGCATGAAAGAAGGGTTGACTTTCTAAAAATCATTTAAAAATATTGTATTGCATTGATAATAAAATTTATATTCACAAAACGGTTTATTCGATTTTTTCACAATTTAAAAACTAAATTATTAATAATATATATTAAAATTAATTTGGATTAAACCCTTCCTTCTTGCTGGAGAGCTCGAATTAAAATAAACATCATTCGAACGCACTTTCACTCTAATACAGATTTTTGGTAAAGCAACATTGGTATTTTTAATGGCAAAAATAATTATTTTTATTTTAAAAAAATATATCAAAACTACATTAAAGAGTTTTAACAGAAGCAAAATCCAAAGCAACAAGCTTTAATTTTTTTGCTATAAAATTATGATTTGTTCTTGAAAAAATAGCTATAAAATTAAAATTTGTTTTTAAAAAGTTAAAATTGAATTGAGTATTTATAGTTAGGTCTTTTAATTTTTTTTACTAAATTAATATAAAAATCTAATTTTCGAAATATGTAAATAATTTGGTCCAATCTTTTTTTTTTTTTATCTATCAAAACTTTATTCAAGCCAATCTTTTGTAGTGTGATATTTCATACAGACAACAAACAGATTAAAGCTATAACAGATTTTCTTCCGTTAATACTTCTGACAATTTATCAATTTAAATATTTTAGCTTTTCTTCGGTTAAAAGAAAAATAAAGTTTAAAGAGCTTTAATAGCTTTTCTACAAATAACTATGTTGCATACCATTTTCCTGCTGGACTTTTCCTCGCTGAGTGGCTGAGGCGTCCTCTGAATGTTATAAGCGTAGCAGCTCTTATAAAAATAATCCCCTCCGGTTTCCGCCGCCACTGCAAAAACAAACGGAAGACACGATTGGGACACGGTTTTCCAAATTTACATTTCATTATTCAATAATAGAATAAATAGAATAAATATTCGACTAGATAATAGACACAAAATGAAAACACGTTTATAATAAAATTACATTGGTTTTATAAAGCATCCCTTTACAATGGGACCGAATTCAATTAGTTTTCGGGGAGGTTTTTTTAATTTTAAGTGTGCGAGCGGCAACCGGCTTGGAGAGGATTTCTATAAAAGCTGAAAAACATTCACAACAATATTATAGTATAAATTTGTTTGACTTTGTATTGTTTAATGATCACAAAAAGATAATTCTGTTGGTACATAAAATCACAATTTAAAAAAACATAATATAAAAGACATTCCTTTATAGTACGTACCTCTCCATAGCGACTGAAAGCTTTCTCGATTGAATATGATGATGAATGAATTTACAAAATATGAATATGAATGATTTTTAACAAAACTTGAAAATTAATTTATATATTATAATTAAAATTTTATATTCGGATACTTATTTATGTACAACATTGTTATCTTTCCATGTTTCTAATGAAGTAATTGTTGAGTTCTATAATTTTGAGAAATCGTACGAATCATTGATAACAAATAAATAAATATATCGCAGTGTTATCATTTTATACAAATGATCAATTAGTCAATACAAAAATCAAACAAACATACAATAATAGGATATGCGTCTCAATTGCGGGATAAATGATCACTTCGCGACTTCTTAAAGGCAAAATAATGTAAATGAAAAAAATAGAACATAGTAAATGATAGGAAATGAATATAAGGCAATGCTGCACCCGGATTAATCCAAGACTTTAGCTTTTTTAATAAACATTTCAACCAAAAAGAATACAACAACCTACTGCAATAGTAGCGACTTATAAGTGATGAAAGCAAAAATATATTATTCATAAGATCATTTAAAAATTATTTATTATATTTCCAAGCATAAAATAATATTTGATCGTTAATTAATCATTTATATTGCTTTATGTCAGCTTCAATTTTTTTATCAGGTCCCGAACATTGCCATTTACCGCATTCTATTAGGAAAGTTAGTCCAAATACGCGTCATATTATTTCTTAATATTTTCAATTAACTACAATTGTTTCCTTACTATCCGCAATTGATAACACATTCACAATTAAGGGACCGATTCTGCCACATAACAGAAAATGTTATGGCAAGGCCATATTATGAAGAACTTTCCATACTAAATATTGGCAGTCAGGCGATTTTCTCAGGTTGTCATATAGCAAACATAACCTAGAAACCGCACAAATGTCAGAAAAACGATGTTAGATCACAGGGTCTTTCTGACCCAGATCATAACTTACAAGTGACGTTGCAGTTTATGTGTAAAAAGGCCTGAATGCACAGCAAACACATGACATTTTGACAGTATGATTCAGTAGCATAATGTATGGAAGTTGGAGCGTAACATGGCCTTGCCATAACATTTTTCTGTTATGCGGTAGAATCGGTGCCTAAATCTCACAAGCAATCACACTTATCAAAAATTTTTATTAGCAAATTTCGGAAAATCGATTATCGTACCAGCCTACGAGGCTGTTTAATCAAGGGCCGGTTCATTCCGTTCATCTTGTGGTAAAGTCCGCAGGCGTTGCAGAGGTAGTGCCCTGTGCCGTCCCTGCGCCACAGTGGCGTAGAAATTGCACCGCAGTTGACGCACTCGCGCCCCTCCGAAAAATATTCGGCCGAATCCACTGTTTTCATCGAAAAATTTGGATTATGGCATATAAATTACAAAAATAAAATTAGTGAATTTAAATTATAAACGTGTTTTCAAATGCTACAACAAAAATTATTAACTAATAATGTAATTTCTACCAAAAATAGCTTTACTTACCTGCATTATAAATATACGGTTAGTTTAACTGTATATGATATGATGATAAATATTAATAATATTTAATGATTTTATTGATATTATATTCTGGGGCCAATTTTTCGGTAAAATAGACCATAACAGAGCGTTGTCATGGCAACACTATCTATGTAAAAATGCTATGTATTTGCTGTACGTCAAGAAAAATGGTATCATAACTGCGCAAGAAATACTTAGCATTTTCACAGGTTTTAGTACCAAAAAAGAAGCATAACATAGGGTTGCCATGACAACGCTATATTATAGTCTATTTTACTGTAGAGTTGGACCCTATATTCCGCCAATGTGAGTATTTTATCTTACAATTTAGCATTATTGTTATACTTATCAAATTATTACACCTATTTTTTGTATGTTCCTAGTCTTATTTATTTATTATTAACTTCACGAAGGGTAAGTTATAGTAATCGCAAAAATGTCGAAAATGAAAATTTTTATGTATCTTTACGCTTTAAAGGTTTCTGAACATTTTGGCATACCTTAGAAAAAAATGGATGCATGTGTGTGTGTGTACTATGGTACTGTGTGTGTGTGTATGCGGATACAAATTTTCGTCGACGATTTCGAGAACACAAGTCAACCGATTTGAATAATTAAAAAAACATTCTATTCGTATTGATAAGGAGACATGCGGATTAGTTTTTGGTGAAGGCAGTACTTTAAAAATATTCGATTCGTATTGATAAGGAGACGTGCTGATTAGTTTTTAGTGAAGGCAGGTCGAGCCGTTTCGAAGATACGGGGCAAAAAGTGCTGAAAATGATAATTGATTTTTATGTTATTTATATAATATAAAAAATCAAATTTTTCGGTTACATTTTTTTTTGTTTTTCATACAAACTTATGAAAAATATGATTAGAATTGTTGAATTGAATTTGAGAAAAATTAGAAGTAAGAAGAAAGCAAGAAAAGATTAGAATTGGAGACCAGAATTAAGTTGAGTTAAATTTGAATAAAAAATTAGAAGTAAGAAAAAAAGATTAGAATTCAAGAAGATCAGATTTAGAAGAAAAAGAATGATGAAATCAGTTAGAAAAACATCAAGATAGAATATGATATATATAAAAAAGATAGTATAGAATATATATGCAAAAGAGTGTAGAATATATAAAGATGATATGGAATATAAAAAAATAAAATTTTTAACTTTCTAACATTTTTGTTGAGGATTTTTTTGATGCAACCAAATTTTTGCAAGTGTTTTTCTTTTATTAGAAAATTATTATCAAGTACCGTTAAATGAAAACTTTCACGGATAATTAATTATTTAAATTATGTGCTCAAGTAAATGTAGGAAGTCAACGATGTGCTGTGTCAGAAATATTAACATAAACATACATGGGGTTCAGTAACCTAAACGTGACATTACCGCAAAACGAGTTATTTTATCGCATTATATTCAGGGATTTTTTTTCTATTGTTATGTGAACTATAAAACATTGTTATAGAAATAAAAAAAAATTAAAATATTTTTTTAAAAAAAAACTAGTTACTAACAAATAATCGTTCAAAAATTATAACGTCCAATATGTTCTGTAAAATGTAATATTCTAATTAACGTCTATAATCATTTGTTAATTAATTAACAAAGACCAGCGATTTTTCTATTAGACAGAAAATCAGACAAATTCCAGAATTAATCAGCATGTATTTAAATTTATGCTTAATCCCATCTATGTGTTGTACCTCTCTAATTGATAATCTTCTAATCTGATTTTGGCATTCGACTCGGAATATATTTACCTATATAATTCACCTGATGTTTTCACATATTTCTTAGTTGCTTTATTACGATCGAATTAAAATTATTTTTACTTGCCATATAGAACCTATTAATTCTCGAACTACTTCAAATTTATTTTGTACATGTTACAAATTAAGCAAAAAGCATTTAGTTTTTCAAGTGGTAGATGTTCACTTAAAAATATGTTCCAGAAATAACTAATAACGATCTCTAAAAATATAAAAAAATATATAAAGAAAATTATAAGAGAGGTCTTTTTTGGGGTAAAGGACAAATGTAACGATGTAATTTTTTTTGATAAATTGATAAATTATTTTGGTATATTGCTTAAACTCTCTTATTTTGAATACTGTTGAATCAATTCAAGTGTTCATATCTTAAAGTTTATCTGCAAAAATATGTTTTTCTCATGAGAGCGAATAATAGCAATGAGATATAGAATAATAAGTTATTTTGACAAAAATCATATGAAATATTATTAATTAATAACGCTGCGTACTATACATATATGTACTGCAATGCATTTAGCGATTCCTTTTTAAATAAATTTGTAAAGGACGAGTTTTACTTAATTTGATTATATGAAGTAAAGAATTCTTTCGCAAATCTAATTTTTTTATATTTTTTCATAGAAAAAGCTACTCTATTTTCAGCAGTACTTTATAATATACAGTTTTATGAGTAAAATTATGCTGGTACTGAACTAAACATTGCATGAAGAACTACAATATAATGTTTTTTATGGTACATCGATTCTTTTACGGAATTCACATTCACAAATGGTATGAATTTTAATCCATTGTTCCGATACATTGAATGCATACATTTATTATTTTAGCTAACATCTGGTTATCAGATGTAAAAATTTGTAAAATTCATCGTGATAACAAAGTAAGGTTTTTGTAGCATTTTGTACTTATAAAAGTAAAGAGGAACCATTCGTTAGAATTATTCTATAGTTCTTTTCAAATATTTTCTCTGTTGTGAAAAGGATTGTAAAATATTTTGAAGTTAACACAAATTGTTATAAGTATCAATATAAAATACATAATGAAATATTCAACTCAAGAAGGGTATGAGTGTGCAAACATGCGCTCATATAGTATTTTCTAGAAGCGTTTTTTTATAACTTTTTCTGAGACATCAGAAAATAATTCTAATTGTGCTATACTTTCGTCTAGATTCTTCCAAACTAATTTAAAAAATATTTTTGTATCCTAAAAGTTATAGTCAACTATAATCAGAAGTAATTCAATAGCCTACTTTACAGCACTGTTATAGCAAGGGTATGTTACGTAATGTTTTTCATATAAA